AAATTTTTCTTTAAAAAAAAAAAAAAAAAGTTGAGCTGCTTGTAATCCCAGCACTTTGGGAGGCTAAGCTGGGAGGATTGCTTGAGCCCAGGAATTTGAGACCTGAGCAACATACTGAGACCCCATTTCCACAAAAAAACTTGAAAATTAGCTACCTGAGAGGCTGAGGTAAGAAGATCACTTGAGCCCAAGAAGTCGAGGCTGCAGTGGGCTATGATCACCACCACTGCATTCTAGTAGGTTGGGCAACAGAGAGAGATCCCATCTCAAAAAATAAAAAGAACATGAGCTTCAAAGTAAGGTAGATAGCTCTCCTAACTTACAGGATGAGGATCTTAAATTCTTTGGGCCTCTTTTTCTTTTCTTATCTGTAAAATGGGTATCAAAATAGCATCTTTCTCATGGGGCCTGTGAAAATTACATGAGAAACATAAGTGAAAATGCTTAACACAGTGTCTGACAATAGTCCACACCCAATGCATGTTTAAAATTTTAGAGTTCTGATTACTCTATAACCTTGCGTTACTTTCTTCCGCTCTCAGTATCTTAGCTCTGAAAGGATGAGGTTAACTCTGGACCTCTGAACAGACATTCCTTCTCTCTTCATCCCCCATCCCCCAGTGGCCTTGCTTACCCATAGTCCAACAGCCAGGACAAAGAGGAAGTACAGAACCAGCACCGCGATGTCCCCAGCCTGTAAGCCCTTCTGGGGAAACGCATCCAGGGGATCTGACTGTGGAGGCTGAGGGCTGCTGGTGCCGCTCTCCATGGTCCTGAATGAGCCCTCTGGATCCTGAGGAAGTGCAAATGCCAATCAGATGCCAGAGCCTCGCATTGCTCTTCTCACCCTTTCTGTAGCTACCTCACTGGGCCATTTATAAAAGAGGACCCATGTGGAGGAATGTGTGGTGGAGACAGATCTTTAGGGAAGACAGATCCATCCATCCATCCACCCACTCATTCATTCAACAAATATTCATAATGAAGTCACATCAAATCTGCAATTTTGTCACTCACTTGGCAAAATGGAAAGAAGCATAAACAACTGAAATAGTACAGCCTTGTACTATTTGATGAGAAGCGAGAAGGTGGGCAGGGAGGTTATTCTGGAGGTAGGGACTCAGGCCTGAGACCATTCACAGGCAGGGGTTAGTCCATTCCTGCTGCTATAATAAAATACCTTAGGTGGTGTAATTTATAAATAACATAAATTTATTGCTCACAGTTCTGGAGAAAGTCCAAGATCAAGCTGTCAGCAGATTCAGTGTCTAGTGAGGGCTTGTTCCTTACAGATAGTACTTTCTAGCTGTATCCTCACATGGTAGATGGATGGGTCAAGCTGGCTCCCTCAAGCCTTATTTATTTTGAGACAAGGTCTCACTTTGGTGTCCAGACTGGAGTGCAGTGGCACCATCACTTTTCTTTTATTTCTTTTTCTTTTTTTTTTTTTTTTTT